TGCTATAGATCCCACTTGAGTTGTTTTCGACTTGAAATTAGTTATATAGTTCATCTCAACCTCTTTCAAAGAATGAAATGAGATAACATCCCGAAAGTTATGATTGTTGGTGCTATATGTCCCAAGATCACACGAGTTGGTGTCGATTGGAAATTTGTTTTATCATATATTTTATGCAAATCTATTTCAAAGATGGAAACAAGATAGCATCCCAAAAGTTGTGATTGTTGGTGCTATATGTCCCAAGATCACATGAGTTGGTGTCGACTGGAAATTAGTTTTGTCATATATTTTATGCCAACATGTTTTAAAGATTAAAACATGATAGCATCCCAAAAGTTCTGATTGTTGGTGTTGTAGATCCCAAGGTCACATGAGTTGGTTTCGACTGGAAATTGCCCTTGGCCAAATATGCCCCTGCATTCCATGAGGTATCGAATAAAAAAGAAAGGGGCAAAAATGTGCGAAAAATTCGCAGAGCATGACTGGGCTGAAAAGTGGGCGGGGCAAATCGGTATGGGAGGAGGGGGGGGAAGGCTTACACCGCGAATGCGAGTGAGTGTGATGAAGTAAGAGGTTCGCAAGTGGGGAGGCGACATTTTGTGCGGTTTCGCGTGCCACTGGAAAGTTGAACGTGCTCGGCTAATGCTGATGCTGATGCTCCGGCTATAGCTTCTCCTCCAGCCACTGGGTCTGGTTCTTTTTCTGGTCCTCCAGCACATCTGGCACTGCCAAGGCCAGGGGGCTGTCGGCTGTGGGCGTGGCACATCCACTCGCATGCCGCCGCTGAAGATGAAAAACTGCTGCGGATTACGTGGTGGTAAAAACTTTTTGACGCTTGATTTTCATACTGATTGTAATCCCTGTGTACGAGCATTCTGCAGCCTGATCATGGTCCGAACTAAATATGTCGGTGGGCGTGGCAATTAAACGTCCGCCTGAAAGTTGGCCGAAAAACTGGATGGGAATATAATGCCAGCGAGTTGATATGTATGGCCCTGGGGACCCAGGGGAACATTGGTTTCGGGGCCTCTGGGGCACACGCACTCTGGACTTTTGAAAACCGAAAGCTGCCACTGGGACCAAATGAACTTACCAGCTCATTGCAACAGTGTTGCCAACTACGGATTACGCCATACAAAAAAATTCATCCAAGTCAGGGATTATAAATATCTGAAAGTGCCAAGGATTATTTTAAGTAGCTCAGATTTTTTTGGACATGGGATTAATGGTGTATTTTTTGTCTAGGATTCTTTTTCCATCATTGTATGTTTATAAGTATAAAAAATGGTTTGGTACACAGATAAGCGTATACAAATTACTTAAATACATATATTTACGAAAAAAAATCACATTTACATGTTATAAAACGAACAATTTAAGAATTTTTTCAATTTTCTATGAAGAAAATGATTTTAAACTCCTTGTAAAACGCTATAAACAATAATTAAATTTACGTTACTTGCACAATCAAATTTTAAATATACTTTATTGGTCAAACTGACTATTATACAAGTATTGTTAATTTATATTTAACAATTTTTATAAATACAAAAAGATATTCCTTAAAATTGGGCGATTAAGAACGCCAGGTCTGAAAATGATTATTTAACTAAAATGGGGTGATAATATGAACTTGTTGTTTGTTTTTATAAATAGGGGAGGTCCAAGTACTGATATATTTCTGTATAACCTGAGAATATCCAGAAAACAGCCAAATTGGAAGTCCTATTCCCCGAAAACAATGCGGATGTTCCGCTGGAAATTCCGCAGCGGTTAACGAAGGGCCTTGGGTGCTGCGTTCAGTTTCTGCCCACGGCGCTGATTTTGCCGAATATAGTAGACATTTCCATTCGGACATGGCATTTCACCCCCGGGCTGGGGATATGCGTATTTAACATTTTTGATGTGGGCCCTTGGCCGCCGAAAAAGGGCAGGCGAAACTAATTTATTTCCATTAGTCGGCGACGTGGGCCACGTGAAATATTTCCGCTAATTGGCATTTGGCAGGCCACACACAGCAAAGATCCCGGGGTCCTGGAATCCCTGGATCCCCTGGATCCCCTGGACCCTGCCCCCCACGAGGCATTCTGTAATTAATCATTTTCTGATTTGGCATCGGGAACTGCACGGCGGCTACGGCATTTTTCCGGCCATTTGGCGTCACCGACTTCGCATTTTACGCGCCGTTAAAGTTTAATCGAAAAAGTATTTTTGTGGCCAATGAAAATTCCAATAACGAAATGCCAGCCACAACAAACTTCTTGACTTTTTTATGCCCCGCAGCCGGAGAAGTTTTTGCGACCCCACCTGCACCTGTAGTCAGGTGGCCTTTTGCTTTTACTTTGGCTTTTGGCTTGATTAGTTGGGGTGGATGAGTCCGGTGGCGACTCCCGGATCCGGACATTGATGCAGTCGGACGGAGATGGAGATGGATCCGGAGAAACGCCTGCATTTGACGGACATCTCGTGGCCCATCGTCAAATTGTCTGGCGGAACTTTCGCAATGTGTTGCGATGTGGCCATTCGCAGGAAACAGGAAAACTTTTCCCTCTAATGCGCAATTAGGCAAAAATTCCGGCGGAACTGTGGATGGGCGTTGGGTAGCGGTATTTTGTGGATCATCACCTGAACGACAGGTCCTTTGCAGGACCCTCGGTCAAAGTGCTTTAAAATTGACAGCTGCAGAGATGAGATGGGATCAAATGAGCATTGGCACTTTAATTCTCCAGTGTTGGAAATCTCCTTAAGTGCGCATTTAAGGTTGGAAAATGATTATATTACCCGGTCCTTCTGCTTTCCTAGCATTTCCTAGATTATTAAACTGTAATAATTCAAGGGGACGTAGCTCAGTGGTAGAGCGCTCGCTTTGCATGTGAGAGGCCCCGGGTTCAATCCCCGGCGTCTCCATAGCCTTTAATGGGTTATTTAGTTTTTTATTTTATTGTTTTTAAGAGCTGGCTTCGACTGCGAGAGGTGGTGTTTGCCTTCAGTTTTCGAAAAACCAAATACCTTTTTATATTTTTTTTTTTATAAATGTATATAGATTAAACTCTTCAATTTGATCGAAACCATAGTTGCAATTGGAAGTTATGTTTTTCAACTCGTAGGGACTGACATCACACATTGCAATCGCGTTTTCGTTGAACCCAAGTCTGGGAGACCGCTGGGCACGATAACTCCCTGAAATGGTTTAAAAGGCGTTTCCTTTTAGTCTGATATTTTTATATTATATATATTCCTAGTATTTCCTAGATTATTGAACTGAAAAGTAATTGATTTACCTATAAGGGGACGTAGCTCAGTGGTAGAGCGCTCGCTTCGCATGTGAGACGTCCCGGGTTCAATTCCCGGTGTTTCCATAGTCTGTAAGTCATTTTTTTAGCTTCTTCTTATATTATTTTTGAGAGATCGCTTCGTCTGCGAGAGGTTTGAAGATCTGTTGTTGCCTGTGTTGGAAAGCTCGTTAATTTTGTATTCGTAAAATTTTGAACTAAATTATACTGAAACTGTCCATTGTTAAATATGCTTTCGAGTATCATTGCTCGGCGGCTTCCTGCTCAGGTGTTATGCTAAGTAAAATAATGTAATGCCATAACGAGTGGTCTTTAAAATTTTTAATTTTACGAGATAAGATCCTTAAAAGTTAGTATTTAGGTTTGGTTGGGTTAGTATATTACATCAAATAATGAATTTATGATTTTAAGGAATCTAAATAAAACAATATAGTAAAAAATGATATTTTACAGATCAAATAATCAAAAAGGTACTATTTCAAAGAACTGCGTGAAATCCGAAATCTAAATATAGAAGAGTCCTTATTTCCTTATATAAATATTCAAGGATTAATCAAAAACAAACTCATTAATGAAAGTATTTCGGGTGGCGGCGTAGCTCAGTGGCAGAGCGCTCGCTTCCATAGCGAGAGGTCCCGGGTTCAATCCCCGGTGTAACCACCTCTTTTATTTGGTTTTTGTAACAAAAACAGTCGCTCTGCAGTTTGCGCATCTCTGTTGCACTCCCTTTGGCTGAGTTTTAAACTTACTTTTGAAATATATAAATGTATTTATGACTTTAAGGGAAAAAAACAATATACATAGTTAAAAATGCTATTTTATAGATCAAATAATCGAAAGGGTACTATTTCAAAGAACATCGCTATATACGCAATCGAAGTATAGAAGAGTCCTTATTTCCTTATATAAATATTCAAGGATTAATCAAAAACAAACTTATTAATGAAAGTATTTCGGGTGGCGCCGTAGCTCAGTGGCAGAGCGCTCGCTTCCATAGCGAGAGGTCCCGGGTTCAATCCCCGGTGTAACCACCTCTTTTATTTGGTTTTTGTAACAAAAACCGTCGCTCTGCAGTTTGCGCATCTCTGTTGCACTCCCTTTGGCTGAGTTTTAAACTTACTTTTGAAATATATAAATGTATTCATGACTTTAAGGGAAAAAAACAATATACATAGTTAAAAGTGCTATTTTATAGATCAAATAATCGAAAAGGTACTATTTCAAAGAACATCGCTATATACGCAATCGAAGTATAGAAGAGTCCTTATTTCCTTATATAAATATTCAAGGATTAATCAAAAACAAACTTATTAATGAAAGTATTTCGGGTGACGGCGTAGCTCAGTGGCAGAGCGCTCGCTTCCATAGCGAGAGGTCCCGGGTTCAATCCCCGGTGTAACCACCTCTTTTATTTGGTTTTTGTAACAAAAACAGTCGCTCTGCAGTTTGCGCATCTCTGTTGCACTCCCTTTGGCTGAGTTTTAAACTTACTTTTGAAATATATAAATGTATTTATGACTTTAAGGGAAAAAAACAATAGACATAGTTAAAAATGCTATTTTATAGATCAAATAATCGAAAAGGTACTATTTCAAAGAACATCGCTATATACGCAATCGAAGTATAGAAGAGTCCTTATTTCCTTATATAAATATTCAACGATTAATCAAAAACGAACTTATTAATGAAAGTATTTCGGGTGGCGCCGTAGCTCAGTGGCAGAGCGCTCGCTTCCATAGCGAGAGGTCCCGGGTTCAATCCCCGGTGTAACCACCTCTTTTATTTGGTTTTTGTAACAAAAACAGTCGCTCTGCAGTTTGCTCATCTTTTTGCACTCCCTTTGGCTGAGTATTTAACTTACTTTTGAAATAGCTAAAATGTTTTGCTTATTTTTCAATTTTAATTGTTTCTAACCAGTTTTATGAAAATTAGAAAGTATGTATTCTCTGCAAAACTTTTTTATTTTAATAATTTGTTTAGAAAAATAGTTTAAAAATTCCAACCCAAACTGTTTGCAATAAAATTGTTCATTAAAATGTTGCTTTACATTTACACAGCAGAACAAAGTCACAAATTTGAACAAAACAAACGGAGAACAATTTCACTTGCCCAGTTAGTTTAGCAACTTCAAATCCCTAGCCATGAAAATTGTATCTGTTTGACAAAGTAAAAAACACCATAACAGCACAGTTCACAGGTTTAACCCAGTCGCAGCCACAAAATACACACGGAGCAAATCTAGCTGGGATAATCCGAGCACACACTCAGAATGGGCGCCCAGTTGGCTGGCGAGACGCGGGCCGAGGGGGGCGGGGCCAAGGACGAGGGCGGGGCAGGACCTGGACCCATACCACCACCCCACAAGGAGCAGGACTACGCGGCTAAGCAGGCAGATAAGTCGGAAAAGCCGGACAAGGAGGAGCAGGAGCCTCCGAGGCAGCAGAACCACGACCAGGAGCACCCAAATCCGCAACTCGTATCCATGGAATCACAATCACCCAAGCTAATGGGGCACCGATCGAGATCGGCTAACATCACCCCTGACATCCAGCGAATGTGAGTATCCCAAATGTTCAGGAACCTATAATAATCAATGGGAAAATATCAAACAAATGGTGGGAAGTATTTGGGCTTTTGGGTCTTTAGTACTGCACTACACTTTAAAAAATAAAAAGGGGGTTGAATACAACACTATGAATTCGTTTTTTATGCAACTTTGAAAACTTGTATTCATTATTGTTACATTATCTGAACTTATTTAGAAAAATATATTAAGATATACTTAATATTTTTAATTAAGTATATTTAAGAAGATTACTTATAATACAAATAAGTATTAACATTTGTGCAAATAGATATCGAGTAAAACACTGGAAACTAAAAACCGGAACAGACCTATTCATATATTTTTCCTAATAGGACTTAAAATAATTTAAATGGATCTAAAATTCATTAACTTTAAATGAGGATAGACCACAACAAACTTTTTGAGACGTCTCTTTCTAAAAATATAATTATAATGTATATTATATTTGTAATTTATAGCCCTGTTAACAGCGAAAATGCATTAAAGATACTTACAATTTAAATTTGCACTAAAGACCACTTAACCTTTTCAGAAGCGAGTCTTTAAAATGTATATAATTTCTGGAGTTTAAGGGTGCTCTGCCAGCAGCGAAAATATAATAGCTCATTAATAAATAAACGTAATTGGAGTTTGCACTACGATGCACTATTTAGTTTCACCCCGAGTGGGCGATATTAAATTCACTTACCCCCCTTTTGTGTATTTTCCAGGCCAACGGAGGCCATCTACGCGGAGTTCGAGCGGCTGGTGCAGCGGGTGGAGGGTTCCCTGAAGGAGGTGCCGGAGCCGCCCTGCGCCGACGTGGCCGCCCGTCTCCAGAGCTGCCTACAGGCGCACCGCCAGCGGTCCTGCAACTGCTTTCCGGCCATGGAACAGTACCGCAACTGTGTGCTACGTGCCACCCAGAACCGTGTGGATGATCTGGCGGATCGGGAGCCACCAATGATCCCAATAGTGCCGCCCCAGCCGATGCCACGCCCCGCTGTCCCACCGCCCAACCAGCGGTCCAATCGCCGTTGGTGGAAGTTCTGGACCTGGTTCCGCTAGCCCGAAAGATGCACTTATCGATCCCCAATCGTTGTCCCTTCCACCTTAAGGAATTTCCATCCCAAGCACAATAAAGAAAAAGGGCTTTATTAATTAAGGACGTAGACTTGAATCCATTTTACTGGTTGTCTCGGTTGCAGCAGGTGCAGCCACAAGGATGACTGTTGCCAGTGAATTTTGCCACAGTGGCTGCTCTGAAATTCGATAGGGCACCTATTAGTCCGGGCCCTGGGAAAATTGCAAATTTTCATTTTTGCCAGAGCGTTGGGATAAGTATCTTAGCAGAGTAACTTAAATCCAAGGGGGTGGGTTGATTTTGGGGGAAAGTATCCACAAAGAATATTCTGCGGGGGCTTTTTAAACTGAAAGATACCTTAATTTCAAAGATACTTGTGCATTTTGTGGAGTTTAAGCTATGAGTTACAATTACATATTTTATCTATAATCCAGCTATAATCTCTATAAAGCTGTTTTTAAGTAGACAAGTTCCTTTAAATATTTATTGATTGGATATTATTTTTTTTAGAGTGCAATAATATATTTTTATTCAGTTTAATAACCATTTTGAGCAGAAATAAAATATATCTATACTACTTTTACCAGCCATCATGTACCTACTGAATTTACAACTTATTTACCAATCAAGTTGCCTTAAAATAGCAAATACAACTCGATTAAAATGCAAAATGAGCCCCTGGCTTATCAGAAATACGACAACAAATTCGATTTGATTGTAAATTGCAGCCTCGTGCGGCGTAAACAATAAAAATGGTAATCGGTTTCACCCCTTTTGAAGTTGCAAATTTAAATTGAATTGCAATTTAAACCCAAACCATAAAGTCAGTTTCGCATTTCGAAAATGCAACATGCACCGCAAACTGCACTCGTGTAATTCTATGCTTTCGATTTGTGCCAAGTCAGTGACTGCTTTATGTCCATCATAGCCGGCTGTCACTGTGGCGGACAGCTGAGAGGTGGTTCGTTTATGAAATGCAGATGCCCGGCTCCAGTTGCACATTAGCCCCGGGGTCTGGAGTCCCTACTACTTTCCTCCTCCTCCTGTACTTTCTCCTCAAGCTGCCTCTGTGTATCTGTCCATTCATTCATTTAAATGTCTATATCATGTGGCCAAAAGGGGGTAGAGAGTAGGTGGTCCGAGGTCCGGAGGCAGCCGAGAATGCAGAATTGCAATTTGCAATAAAAGTAAATCTGCTATGGCGCCGAGCTCTGGTTCCAGCTGGCTGGCTGGCTCCTTACATTGTTATAGCCCCACAACCCAAACCCCATATACCTATACCTATTCCAAAAACCATCTGCCGCCATATGTGGCCATCTCTGTGTGCGGTTTCGGGTTGAAAGCCTTTCGGGCAAGGTAAGCAAACATTAGAATTTATTAAATCCAACTCATGCAGAGCAGCCCCGCCCACTTCTTCTGGCCTGGCTCGAGCGCAGAAAAAAAAGGGGAGAAAAATTATAGCATATAAAACTCACCTTGCCACGGCTTCAGCAGCACATTCAACTTTTGGGCCAGGCCAAAAGCACACATACACCCCGGACTCAGATATAGCGGACACCAGATTCGCCTGTATTATCTTCACACACACTCACACCCCCACATCCTCGTACATATTTGCCCTTACATAATCCAACTTTGCTTTTAGCATTTGGCAAAACAAACAAAACGCCGGTCGCCCAAAAAAGGAGTTCGCCTCCATCTGCACTGACCAAAAGCTGGCTGCTGTGGTATTCCCCGATTATAATGGTATATATATTTTAATTGCTTCTTTATATCCATTGAGAAACCCTCTCATAACTCAATTGGTTTAAAACATTCATATATTGGAAATATTAAAAATTAATATTATTAAAAGAGCACAACCTCACAAGCTGTTAACTCCAATAAAAAACATTTTTATATTACCAGGAACATCCATTTATTTTACAAATTTCATATATATAGAGCTGCATTTTTTACTGTGTAATCTAAAGGGTTTAAGGTAAAATTCTACAAAAATACTTGCAAGAAATATCGCAAATTGCATTCTTTTTTGGTCTCCTTTAAATATCAATAAAGAATTAAAACATCTAACAACTTGACAAGCTCCCAAAAGTAACTGACTAGTTCAGTATTCTAATTGCATATAAAAGAAACTATTAATGATTTGCAAATCCTGCAGTTGCAAACAAAAGTTCAGATATCAAAAAGTGCAACAAAACAAATATATACATGTTCTCATGTTGGTATTACACTAAGTAGTTTGTGAAAAGGCTTAACAAACATTTTTATTACACGCGTTTAGGCACTAAACGATTGTTTAAAAACAGAAAAAAACCAAAGATTAGAGAAAAATCCTGTATTTTTTACGAAATTGTCCGATTATTTGTTTAAGCAGGAACCAAAGTAAAATGCAAAAGAAATGAAAAACTGTCGTATTTGAGTTATTCGTAGGATTTGCCGGGTAAGTTGTTACTTCCCCAGGAAGCAGGCGATTTATTATCGCAACTTAATCTCACAAAAACACGTCAAACCTGAAAATCCTGCAGCTCGGTGGCCAGCCCCGCCCCCTTTCGCCGTACGCCCATAAAAAGTGCGAGGGGGGTTGGGTTTGGGGGGGTGTAGGTGTAGCATACATTTGGTCGCTCGCCGTTGGCTTCATAAAAAACCAACTACATGGAGTGCGCATAGCAACAAAAACATGCAGGCAAATCACAGTGTACAGCACACTTCACCCCCCTAACCCCCTTTTTTTTTTGGAACCCCCTTTGAAAGCCACACCACTGGTAATTTCCATTTGGTTGCCCTTATGCGGCAGTCTACACAGAAAAAAATATATCATGCGAACAGCATGTAAAAATATATTTATTTTACATGAATTTGCCATTTCTGACTTAATAAATTTGTATTTCTATTCAATGCCACCCTTTTTATTGTCATTTATTTAATTATTAATAACAATTTTGATCCAAAATATAACATATTTTTTAGTACATTTTTTTTATATAAGTATTATAAAATAACTAAGATATAGATATATAATATTCAAATCATTTTTACGCTTGTTATGATCTTAAAAAATTCTTGAGAAAAAATATAATCTAATGTCCTCCATTCTATTGTCAATTATATATTTATTAATATAGGTGTATCTTAATCCATTTTTAAATTAAGTAAGTATTATCTAATAATGAAGAAAGTATTTTATTATAATTTAATTGGAACTTATAATCAAATCATTTGTAAGCCTCTAGAGAGGTTATGTTTTTAAGTATCTATATTCATTTTTGAGTAATTTATGTAGATGTTAAGATTTTTTTAAACATAGAAAAGCATCTTAAGAGGTCCTTCAAGTCACTTAGCTCTCTGCATACAAAATTTCGTGCTGTGCAATTCGTTTAGCCGTGTGTTTTCCGTTTGGCTTTTTTTGGTAACAGTTTTGCCCACTGCTTTTTTCTATTTTCCTCGTTGTGCCATAAAGATTATTATGAAAGTATTTTGCTAAGCTTTCTGAGTTGAGATGAGATGTGTCGGGTTGGTTTTGGGCTGGGCTGGCTGGGTTTTTGGGGAGTTGGGGGGTTGGTAGGGATAGGGTTTAGGGATAGGGATAGGGATTGTGGCGCCATCTCTGTTGCGCGCGCTATCTGGCGAAGCATCCGTCTCTGTCATGCCATTTGGCTGGCACTCTCGAGGCCTTAAGTGTGCATGCATTATGCCATGTGCAGGACGAGGACCCGGCCAGGACCCCCTCCCGAGTACCCCCTTCGAGTATAATATGCATGCTTGGATAATTTATCGGTACACTGGCAGCACAGCTTTAAATGTGATTTAAGCCCCGGCCACGCCGATTGCCATGTCCCCTGCCATGTCCCTGTCCAATCCATTGGCGTTTTAGTTGTGCCGACCAACTGACAGCAGCTCAAATGCAATTAAATGGCCCGACCGCAAATCTCAACTGCACTTTGCACCGAAAAACAGGCAACTGTCAATGGTCATTGGTCAATGGTGGGCTTTGATTCTGAAATGATTCCAGTGGGAGGGGGCTTTGCATGTTTCAAAAGATTCCAAAATGTGCCTGGCCATATTAAATTAATTTAATAATAGATTTGGCCAAACCGTAGCATTTTTGTTAAATAAGGTTAATAAAATAAAGGTATTTTGTTAAATAAGGTTAATAAAATAAAGGAATGCCTTCTAGAATGTGTGAAAAAATAATGCATTCCTGAGGCTGTCCTCAAATTGCAAATATTTTCATAACCAATCATCACAAAAACTTTGGACAAACAGGTGATGAAATTGTAGTTTTTCAAGTTGCTGAAACTTTCAATGCAAAATATATTTGTTTAAGAAAAACAATGATATGCGAACCCTGTGGTAAAGGTGAAATATAATGACAAAAAAATGAAAAAACACTGCTGAGCCCGCGGGCCATGAATCATATGGCGATAAAACCTGGAAAAACCATGAAACCCTCATCAGGAACGTAAAACCCCCCACTCGACCCCAATTTCAGCGGCCTTAATCCGCTGTCAGGGGAACGAGGATTTCCGTGTAGCAGAGTGTAACAGCCTGGCTTGTTGCCCACGCCCATAACCATGCCCATGCCCCAGACCTTACGGCATTTTTGATATGCTTGTAGTTTCGGTGTTTTTAAGGGGATATGGGATATGGAAATGGGTCGGATGAAGCCGTCTTGGCGGGCATATGGAAATCGGATAGAGCAGACCCGGCCAAAGTTGTTTGTTTTTATGTTGTCTTCAGCCGCGTTGCATAAGTGCATTTGTCTGTTATCCCGACGAGCTTTTGTTTCGCCCAGCCCCCCCCTCCTGTAGTTTTCCTCCTGCAGTTTTCCCAGCCATACCCCCTTTTCCATTTTCTCACACTAGTCCAGGCACTTGTTTTCAACGGAATCAATTTAGCGTAAGAAGTTTCAGCTCCGAGCTTGAAGTTGTTGTCATGTGCAGGCCAGAATGGCGATGAGGTTGGTGGCCCGGGGGGGGCGGAGGTCAGGGGTTACGGGCGGGTCAGGAGGGGTGCCCAGGAGGGGCCAAAAGTGTGGTGTGTGTGCGGTGCAATTATGCCAA